ATTCAAATACATTGCATTTGAGAACAGATTCTTCCAATTTCCCTCACCCCCACCCCCAAGGATTTTGAAGCTCTGTCTCACATACTTTGAGCTAGGATGAAGGACATCATACTTGGAGGGTGGAGGGACAGTGCAGGAAAGTTAGACCCAGGATGAGATGGATTAACACAATAACCAGGGCAATGTATTAGTAATGGTGGAGTCCGTGAGAGTGGCTCAGGTTAGGGCAGGGTGCAGAGCTGTTGTAGATAGGGTCACTGTGAGTTGCAACTGGCTCAATGGCGCATACCAGCAAGGTTGGGCCAGGCTGATGGAATGTGTCTCGAGATTTGAATTTCTTAACCTTTTTTTTTTTTTTAGGATCAAAGAATTCTTATTATCTTGATGATGTCTGCTAATGGTGCATTAATTAAATGTAAAATGACAGTCTTTGAACTTTGAAAATTAAATTCTCATTTTCTATGGCACTGCCTATGTTTCCTACAAAGGGGTGGGGAATTTTTCTATTTATGCCCTCAATAGTTGGTACAGTTTCTCTTTTTATTCGTCAGTTATACCATCTGGAGGGATAAAGGAGAATAATTAAGCATCTGTTAAAAAAATTTTATTCACTGCCTTCAAGTTGCTTCTCATATGACCCTCCACTGGGATTCCAAGGCTGATCCTAACAAGAATTTACTGCTCAACCTTCTCCCCCTAGACCTGCGGGGGGATTTGAACCACCAAAAATGGCCAGCCATTTGGTTACAGACCAGACCATCAGAGATCCATTTGTGGACAGTTTGGTAGCAAATGTTGGTGATAATTGCACAGCCTTATTAATGTCACTCAGTTACACATGCAGAAAAGGTTGAATTGGCAACCATACATCATTTGGATTTTTACCACAATAAAAAAATCCTATCCAGAATTATAATTGATGTATAATTAGAACTTCTTAAGAAGGAATTTTAGCATGATGCTGAGTGAACTAACTCAGTCTCATAAGGACAAATTCTACATAAAACCATTATTGTAGAAATAGAAAAGTGACTAGTAAAACATGTATGTGGATCCAAGGGGGCAAGGGGTGGAAAAAAAGGGGTGAGGATGGGTAGGAGGAAATCATAGGGTTACAAGTCACAAAATTTGGTGGGTGGGGTAGCAGTAAGAGGAAAGATCCAGTGGAGACCTGAAAAGACAGGGTAATGGTAGGCATAATTCAATGGGTGTAAAGTTTATAAAACACAAAGTGTGGGAATGATTGTGTGAATGAAAGAAAGTGTAAAACACAATGTATATGAATTTTGTATGCAAACCAATATAATTTTTTTGTAAAAAAATGAAAGTATATTAGGTTTCAACTACTTCAGACTGCTCAGATGCTTACTGTTCCTTAGATATCTATTTGAGAAGGATTAGTTCAGTATCTTAATTTGATATGATGCAGTAATTCAAATAACCTGTTGAAGGTGATTAACTCAATCACTTTCAGGTGAATTATGATGTATTCTGTTTTCTCCCACTTTCCCTGTTGCTATACAAGATTCTTTTGTGCGAGTTTTGGATTGTCAGTGTGATCTTGCAGAGTTGGAATGAGATCTAGGATTGCACAGTGCATCTTTGAGGTCCCTGTTTTCTGCTTTCGAGATGATAATGTGGTCTGGGTGCCAACTTATCACCTATACTCATTGCTGGAGTTTGTGCCCCTTGCATTTGTTGCCAGGTATGGAATCTATGCATCTGTGGGCTTTTCCCACTTCTGTCTCCTATTTCTCTATCTTTTAAGAACTTCTGTGTCCTTTGTTGACACACATAAATTCTGAGTCACTAGAAGGAGTTGGAAGACTTATCCCAGGCTCTTCTTTCTAACCACTTCCTTCCCTATTATAGGGATTCATACTCAATATGATCACAGCCATTTGCATTTTTAATGGACAAACCACATTTATGATTTATTTTATGTTTATTGGCATGCTGCCAAGAGGTACCAGTCCTTGGAGAGGGACATCATGCTTGGAAGAGTGGAGGAACAGTGCAAGAGAGTAAGACCTTAGATGAGATGGATTGACATGGTGACTGTGGTAATGGGGGGACAGGTATGTCAGAGACAGTGAGGTTGGCTAAGCCGTTGTTCAGAATCATTATGAGTCTTAGTCGACTTGATGGCACCTATCAAGAGCAACTGTGTATGAGTGTGTGGAAGTGTATGTGTGAGATTATATATATATATATATATTACGTTGTATTACATTATATTGTAGGGGGGGAACCCAAAGATAAATGTTATCTTCATTTATTTCCTTTTACAGGATTATTAGGGAGTGTTCTCACTAGTCGCTGTGTAATCAGGAGAAAATACCTTTCAAGAATTTCCCTGTGTACTCATCAAAAGGCCTCATTCCTGTTGCCTGTCAGTGGTTGGAGTCTAGCTTATTATCTGATTCTTTCCTAATCACTCTCATTGCTGCCCTTTCCCACCTCCCTATCCTCAGTCATAATTCCTCTGGTGAGATAGCCAAAGGATCTTTCACCACTTACCCAAAGGCCATTTGTCCTTGGTGGTCTGAATCTTCCAGCAGCTCTGCAGGAGAAAACACGAGCAGTATTTTATCATTAAGATTTGTTGGTGTTGGGTGCCATTGAGTCAGAACTATCTGAGAATGGACCCTTGAACAGGTTTTTCAGAGACTACAACATGGGACAAGACTGTCCATCTTTCTCCTAAAGGGATTTTGGTAGGTGATTTGAACCACATGCCTTTGGGTTATCAGCCAACTCCTTACCACTAAGCCCCCAGAGATCCCTCCCATTAAGATTTACAGCCTCAGAAACCCACTGGACAATTGCAGTGGGTCTGAATAGTCTCAAAGCAGTGAGTTTGGTTTTGTTGTTGTTTTTAGCCTATTACTACCCCTAGCTCTGTAAAAGGGGAGCTCTGATGTCCTAGTGACAAAAAGCTGTGCTGCAATCTCAAAGGCATGCAGTTTCAATCCACCAGATGCTCTACTGGAGAAGGAGAGACAATCTCCTCCTGTGCCAGTCAGATCTGATTTGACAGTACACAACAAGAAAGGAAAAAAAGACTCTGTCTTCAATCATGGTGTCTCTGGAGTCCCATTACTGATGATGAATCAATGGTCTTGCACTTTGGGGGAAGAAATAGAGAAATTGAATAACATATAATACTGTTTACCAGACCCAGAGATATCTAAATCATGTACCAGAAACTCAAAAGTCAAGACCATTAGTCAATAACTTCCTGCCACTTTTAAAGGATAAATTACAATTCTTGACCTTTTTAAACCTAAGATCCCTTGTATTGTGCTTAATCTCCTCTCTTCTCTGTTTCTTGATTCATACTATCTCTCTTCCTCTGTCTCCTTATTTCCCATCCTTTACCCTTAATTCTACCTTTTTGTTTTCTTGTTCTCCTTTCATTTCCACTCTCCTCCTCCAAATGTAAAATAAGCTTTATAACTATTTGTTTCAACCAGTATGACAAATTGAGACTCCAGAGGGGGTATTATCTGTATCTTTCTCCCCCCTTCCTCCTTCCCTCCCTCTCTCCTTCTCTCTCTCTCTTCTCTCTTGCCCCCCCCATCTCAGATACACCATCCCCCCCATGCTTTAAAACAATTCAAGGGGGAAAGTTATTAAGATTTTATGGAAATAAGCATAATATAATGAAAACCCACTTCTTTATATTCTTGACTTTAATCACAACTCCATTGCACATTCTATGAATGACAAATATCCTAAGTGTCTGAATGTAGTAAGATTTGGCTTAACTAAACTCTGTTCTAGTTTTCCCACTTAATGAAAAGCAAGTAGTCATATAATTTCAGTTTCATGTTGGAGCAGGGTGGATGCTTATGAGGGAGTCTGAGCAGAGAGGTCAGCGAGGAAGTGAGTGAATAGTGCCTACATGTCAGAAGACCTGAACTCTAAATCCATAGGGAAATTAGCTGTAAATGAAAACACACATCTTCATATGCAAACCCAGATAATTCTATTTTCTGTTTCTCTTAGAGCTATTAATATTGCAAGGTTTTAAATGCTGGAATGCAAAAGCCAAATCTATTTTGTTACTGATTGTTGCTGATAAAAGTGACTGTGACAGTTTATTACATTCATTACAGCACTTTGCACATTCACTGGATGATGGCAGCAGTCCAAGTGCCGTCAACAGGATGGCTGGATGCACAGAGGTAGTAAATCCATCTGATGGAATATTATTCAGCCATAAAGAGAAATGAATTTTTGATATTTAGCAAAACACAGATGAATCTGGGATACACGCTCATTGAAATAAATCAGCCATGAAAGAACAAATAGTTTATCACCTCATTTACACAAGTGAAAAACATATATAGAAGCCAAAGGTCATTAGCAGAGGAAGGAATTTCTTCTTGAGGACATTGGGATTTTTGTTAATGGTCATGGAATAATTTGTAAAAGAATGGTGAAAATGGTTGCACAACTTGAAGAGTAAATTCAAGTGTCACTGAATTCTATTTAATGTTTGATGTATGCTTTGTTATCTATGTTTTGTATTTCCCCACAATCACATGAATACATTTTTTAGTAGATGTGACAGTTTGGAAAGATCTGTCAGTGAATTGTATTGTGACATTTTCTCAGACTCTTAAAATTGAGTCATTCACTTACAAAGACAGATGAAGAGCAGAAACTTCACATTGAAAAATTCTTGTGTCTCTTTGCTTTTTTATTTCCAGCCTGGATGTGTAAATACTACTGAAGTGGACATTAAGAAGTCATCCAGAATGAGAAATCCACACAAAACCCGGAAGGTAAAGTGCTGTCTGTTGTGCTGATTTTCATAACAAGTAGAATTCATTATAGGACTTCAGTCATTAATTTAAAAAAAAAGATATTTCTCCTAGTACATAGAGTATCCATTAGGACAATTCTTCCTTTTCTATGTTGTTTTGCTATCTCAGTGTGCTCTTGAAATTGTAGCCCTAGTTTTCTGTCACTTGCTCTTTCTTCAGAAAGAATTGTTTTCCAGTTGCTGTTGGGTTGATTGATCCAACACCTGACAACCCGATGTGGAAAGAGGTAGAAATAGTCCGCATGGGCTTTTCAGAGCAGTGACCTTTCGGAAGCAGTTCATCAGGGTTTTCTTCCAAGGCTGATAACCTTTTGGGAGTCAAGCACATAAGTCCTCAAGTAGCTTGTGTACCCTCATTTTCATTCTAGCATGTCTATCCCTAGGGGTCATGGGTAATAATGGCTGGTTCTTACAGAAAATAAAAATACAAGAAGGAAAAGATCTCTGTACCCCTCAGGAAAGGCCATCAACATAGAAGAGTGTCACTTTCATAGCCCACGACATAGAGAAAAGAAGACGAATTATCTGAGAAGAAGCGTTTAGTAGGAGGGAAGTAGTTCTAACCTATATCATCACTTCTGAGCCTAAAGTTAAAAATGTGAGCACATTCCTCACACTTCAGGATATTATTTCCTGTGAGTTGTTTTGGGTTGCCCCCTATATGTCTCTCTGCTCATTGCCATTGAATCAGTTCTCGCTCATGGTGTCCCCGTGTGCATATATTAGAAGTGTTCCACAGGGTTTTGAAGGCCATGATGTTTTAGAAGCATATTGCAGGCCTGCCTTCCGAGGCATCTTTGAACATCAAAACAACTCACTACCAGCCATTCTGGTGGATTGTCACTCCTAGTGGCCTTTCTTCATGTTTCCAGGGCTGTAAATCTTTATGAGAGCAGCCTGTCTCCCGTAGAGCACCTGGTGGAGGCTAACCTAGTCACTATGCCACCAAGGTATCTTTGAGGTCGCTCTGGCAAGCTCCACACTCCACACATTCACTGCCTCCATGGCTAATCAGTGACCGCCATCAAGTTAATTCGGACCACAATAACCTTCCACTGGGCTTACCAGGCTGTGAATCTGGACCAGAGGAGACTGCTCATCTTTCTTCCACACAGCTGCTGGTGGATTTGAATATCTGGCTAGTAGTGAAGACTGTAGGTTCTGACTGATCTGGGGCTCTTTGTCCTTATGTTTGTTGTTGTCATGTACATTCAAGTCAGAACAGACTCATAGCTGATCCTCCAGTGGGCTTTCAGGGGTAGCAAATCACACAGGAGGAGATTGCCTATCTTTCTCTCATGGAACAGCGGGAAGATTTGAACTGCCTGCCTTTGCATTGGCAGGACAATTCCTAACCACTAAACCACCAGTTTATATTGTTCTTTATATTGTTATTGTGTACTGTTGAGTTGGAAATGACCCATAGCTGACCCTCCGGCAGATTTTCGGAGGCAGTTCACCACATAGATTACCCATCTTTCTCCCATGGAGCAGCTAGTGGATTTGAACTGCGTACCATTAGGTTAGCAGTACAATATTTTCCATGAAGCATCCCTGGAGTTAGCACTAGACTTTTTATCTTGATAGTTTTCTTTCTTACTGTCTTTTCTTATAATCTTAGAAATGGAGCATCCTCTTTAAAGGCACCTTGTACTGTAAGTGCATTTTCTTTCTTTTAAGGTAGTTTACTCTGGTAGGATAAAGAAGCCATGAGAAAAGAGCCGCAAACCCCCACTCATATACAACACACAAAAGCTTTGCCCCTTGGACCTCTCCAGAGGTAGAGGCAAAGCAGATGCTGGTCTCAGTCTATGCCTTTCATCCTTTGCCCACTGGCACATCCAAAGTGCCCTGGGGATTGGCTTGTTGGAACAAAACTCCCCAAAAAGTACATTAAACCTCCTCTCCCTTTGTTCTGAATTTTAAAGAGCTACTTAATATGGGTTCTCTTTTGCCCTGCAGATACCATTTGAGATATGTTCTGATTAAGAAGAGAAAGCAAATGGATTCACAGCATAAATATAACGAAGGAATAATTTACCTTTCTTGGCATTATTTTCAGTATTGGGATACTACTAGTGCTTCACATTGTATCATTTTTTTGTTCTGCAGCTTTGAAAAACATTGGTTAGCTGTGTTGCTCTTCACATGCCATCAGCCCTGATTTAATTATCTGGGGAAATGATGAAGAATAGCAACACAAAATGTTGTAAAGAGGTGGAACCATTGAACTCTAGGTCTATTTGTCTGGAATTCAATGTAATTTTCCATAAATTAATATCATTAGAAATACAAGCTGTTAATGGACAGTAATGAAAGTTACTAGAGACAAAAGAAAATTTTGGAAAATGCTACAAATAATTTGTATGCCCTCATTTTAAACAATTGGAATATATTGATTTTCTCGTTATTGACAAATACAGCTTCTCATAATCAGAAATATTTCATTTGCTATAATATTTACTGAAAGTGTTGTTTCACATGAAAGGATATTGGACTCTAAACTGTAATACTGGTTTTTCTTTTTTTATTATTAACTTAAATGAAAGTTTACAGAGACTTTGGATTTCCATTCATTCATTGTTGCACTTTTCTTCCTGCCCACCCTTCCCCTCCAGTTCACTCTTCTCTTTGAAAACTAAAAGAAAAATTCTTTCATTGTTATACAATCCCTCCCCCCAAGTCCACTCCATTATGCAGCCTTCGTTCTGCACTTCTGTCATGACAATAATACCTAATCATACATACCTTTTAAACAGTTCTCTCCCTCATCTGTTTCAATGAAGTATACATAATTTATCCCATCTTTCTCGGTCTTCCTCCAACCCCCATGTCAGTCTCATTTTACAACAATGACACTGCAGTATTTGTCCTTTTGTGACTGAGATCTTTCACTCAGCATAATGTCCTCCAGGTCACCCATTTTGTATAATTTTCATGAGTTCCTTGTTTTTCAATGCAGCATAGTATTCCATTGTGTTAATATACCACAGCTTCTCTAGTTGTTTGTAGATGGGCATTTAGGTTGTTTCCAACTCTTTGCTATTGCAAACAAAGCAACAGTAAACATGGGTGTGCATATATCTGCTTGGGTGGCTATTATGGTTTCTTTAGGGTAAATTCCTAGTAGTGGAATTGCTGGGTCAAATGGTATTTCTATTTGCAACTTTTTGAGAAAGCACCATACTGCCTTTTATAGTGATTGCACCATTTTACACTCCTACCAACAGTGAATAAGGGTTCTAGTTTCTCCACAACCTCACCAGCATTTGTTGTTTGCTGTTCTTTTATTTTTGCTGTTCTTACTGGGGTGAGATGATACCTCATGGTTCTTTTGGTTTACCTTTTAGAGTTATTATCTCTGCTACTGTAGCTCAAGGGGACTCGGGTGGCCTATTGGGAAAGAGCTGTGCTACAGTCCCAAAGGCACACAGTTCAAATCTACCAGCTCCTCTGTGGGAGAAAGGTGGTCAGTCTACTCCTGTGAGACTTATTGCCTCTGAAAATCCAGTAGGGGATCACCTAAGGGTTAGTTCCAATTCAGTGGCACAACAGCAACAACTAATTTAGCTCATACAATCTCTGATGGTTTGGGGGTAAGGAATTGTACTGCCCTGCCAACACATTTGAAACACATGGTTCAAATACACCAACTGCTCCTTGGGAGAAAGATGGGCAATCTCCTGTCCAGTTTACTACCTCTCAACACCCTCTGGTGGGTCAACTAGTGGATTCCAGTTCAATGGTGTAAAACAACAACAGCAAACTTTATATTTGGTTGGAAACTAGCATGTCTCATTCAATCAGAAGATTTAGCAAGTTTCTGTTAATGTGCTTGGGTGGTGCAGTTATCATTCTTAGCTGGTAACTTAACAGTTGAATGTTCTAGTTGGCCCAAATGTGCACTTGGAAGAAAATGTTACTGCTCAATATCCAATAAAAATCATTCACCAAAACCCCAGTCCAGCTCTGATGCCTGTGGAACTCATGAGGCTGTGGTGGATCTTTTACTTGTCCTAGATATTCTTTATCTAGTTCTTTCTCCAGACTGGCTCCCAAGAAACAGATACCCTTCTAACAGCCTTTTTAAGTTACTTTTCCTTTAAAGGGGGGGGGGGAGAAAATTTACAGTTAAAACTGTCACCACCTTGATTTGTAAGCATTTTTTTCATTAACAATAAATCTGATTAAGTCTCTTTTTTAAATTAAGTCTCTTGTTAAAGAATGTTAAATAACTTTGCCACATTAACTGTGAGAATGAAGACAGTTCTCAGCAACCAGACAGTCGTCATCCCAGAGAAGGTCGACATGACTCTGAAGGGCCACACAGTTATCATGAAAGGCCTGCGGGGAACCTTGTGGAGGGACTTCAATCATGTCAGTGTAGAGCTTAGTCTCCTTGGGAAGAAAAAGAAAAGGCTTCATGTTGACAAATGGTGAGGAAACCGGAAGGAACTGGCTACCATTCATACCATCTGAAGCCACATACAGAACACGATCGAGGGTGTTACACTGGGCTTTCGTTACAAAATGAGGTCTGTGTATGCTCATTTCACCATCAATGTTGTGATTCAAGAGAGTGGATCTCTGGTTGAAATCTGAAACTTCTTGGATGAAAAAATACATTCAGAGAGTTCGCATGAGACCAGGTGTCGCTTGTTCAGTATCTCAAGCCCAGAAAGATGAGTTCATTCTTGAGGGAAATGACATTGAGCTTGTATTCAGTGCTTTGATTCAGCAAGCTACAATAGTTAAAAGCAAGGATATCCTTTAAAAACGAGCTTTTTGAAGCATACAATATTTGGTGAAACTATTTGGGAAGTCAGAAGTGTTTTTCAACTGAATAGTTTCAACAGGAAAGCATTTGTTAAATTTAACAGGTAATTTTTGTTGTATGTAAATTAAACTTCAATAAATAGTACCATAAAATAAAAAAAAAAAACGCAGACAAGGATATCC